ACAATTGCTGGATTTATGAAAAATATTCATTCGTGGTTCCCGGCCAGACAATGTGGCCTCATTTGGAGGCACAAGTTTAGAGTTGTGGGAGGGTGGGGCTTCTCTCTGCTCCTGGAGTAGCTCAGTGATGGCATGAATAATCTCATTTGGAGATAACCCATGTTTAAGCCCTGGCCAAATGGCCTCTCCTGGTCCATCAAGTACGTGAGGCAAAGGTGGGGAATCTTGGTGTAGAGTGAATCCTGGGAGATGGACGCTGGCACCTGTGCCTTCAGCACTAGGCTGGCTTGTCAAGGCCTCTGGCTTCTCCTGAATTCAGGACTGAGTTGGGGGCTTTTAGCACAGTCCAGGAACCCCCAGATCCATGTGTGTCTGTGCATGAGTGTGGGAGGTGGGTCTCTGAAATTGCAGAGGGTAGTGTATGTGCGTAGAGGGAGACTTACTGTAAGGTCCGTGATACTAATTAAGTGCCAGGACCCCTGGCTAAGGCCCTTTCTAAGGTCCTGGACTTAGTCTAGGTCCCATAAAACCTGGATCCATCCCTGCATGGCTAAAGGGTCATGAGCTCATCTGATTATCAGGGAAGTCTGGGACACCCTCCCCTGTCCCCACCTCCCCTCCGCAAAGTTTCACAACCTCCAATTTGGCAATTGTCAATTTAGAGCCCCTGGCTACAGCAGCCCACCCTGGGCAGAGCCACTTCGCCACCTGGTGGCTGGTTCCTGGAACTGCATGTTCCACCTCCTCTCTGGGAAGATCCTGCTCCTGACATCTCCTCCCAGCACCCAGGCGCCCGGTCCCTGGGTCTATAACCCGTGTCTGAAAGCCCGAATCCAGGGTCTCTCGTTCCACTTTGGGTCACCTATGGTTTGGAATTGCCCGAGGTGCCTGGCCCTCCCCTTCATTCGATGCGTGTTAACTCAGCAAATGGCTGTGGGGCACCCACCACATGCCAAGCACTGTGCTTGGCAGAGGCCGAACGATAGTGAGCAAAGCAGGCATCACCGTGCCATCAAGGTGCCCACAGGCTCCTGGACAGGATGAACATTGACCAAGCAACCACAGAAATAAGGACACAGTTACAAACTGTAATAGGTGTCAACAAAAGTCTGTACTGGAGGATTTGACCTAGTTAGGGAAAATCCAGGAGAGTTTCCTGGAGGAGGTGACACTTGAGCAGAGTCTGAGTGAGGTGCAGTTAACCAGGTGAAAAGAGGAGGGAGGAATGTTTCAGATTGGGGTGGGGGTTCAGGGACAGCAGATGCAAAAGCCCTGTAGTTCACCGTGGTCAGTTGCAGTCTGAAGTGACCATTCCAGCTGCTATGTGGAAAGTGGATGAAGGAAGGCCAGAGATGCTGGGGAAAATGAGGGAAATGAGGGAAGTGTCTTAGGCATGTGGGAGGGACAGTGGCTGGGCCACATTATTCCATGAGTGGGATGGTGTCGCCTCTGAGCTGGGCACCAGGTGGACAGTGGGAAAGCAACTGGGGACGAGACTTGTCCCAAACAACCCTGCTCTTGGAAGGGTCAAGACTAGAATTCAGGTCTCTGTGAGTCTGCCCCACTGATTCCTGGCATTTAGGGAGACGGTTCCTAAATCCCGTCTCATGGAATGATAACAGCAACACTAGTATTTATCAAAGACTCCTATCTGCCTGGTACTGGGCTAATCAACAAATACTGATTTGCTCTTCGATTTCCCTTCATAGCTTTAATTTAGCCAGAAAGGACCCTAAGCAGAGAAATGGTCATACAGCTGTTGGAAGCGAAGCCAGGCCTCAAACCCAAGGTGCCTGGCTTCAGAACAGATGCCTGAACCCACACCTGCATCTCCCACTCTCTGGCCATTCCCGAGCCCCTGGCATGATTTTGCCCTGTCCTTGATTCACAGGGGAGTTTTCAACTTACTCTTTTGAGATATAAATCAACTCAGGTAACCATAAAAATAGCTGCAATAGGAAGAAACTTGCAAAGAGATATTAGCAAGTGTTAGTGAGAGGCGTTAAGGACCTGCTAGTACCAAACAGAGAGATGACTTCATGAGAAAGTTTCAATAGTGGATGAAACCTTCAGGGTTATTATTGTTGCACCCTTAGAATCCCCAAGATTCTCTCCTGACTCTCCTAAGGTCAGTTCGCATCCACTGTGGCACACAGTCCCGCACTTTGGGGAACGCTACACCCCTCCACTCCCTTCTAGGGGCCGCAGCGTAAACGCTTCATAGGAAAAGGACTCTGTGCTCTGACAGGTGGGTGAGCGCTGCCTAGTGCATCTTGCTTTTAGAGGTTCACAGTCCCTGTTCGTGTATGAAAGGCGCTGAGAAGTCCTGTAGTAAGGAAATATGGTTGACTTTGCTTAACCCAGCATTCTCACCATTTACTTGTTTATGAAGCACTTTACAAAAATCTTTTTCAACGGCCAGGTGTGGTGGCTCACACCTGTAATCCCAGCACTTTGGGAGGCAGAGGTGGGAGGATCACTTGAGGCCAGGTGTTTGGGACCAGCCTGGGTAACATAGTGAGATCCCTTCTCTATGAAAATAAAAATTAAAAAATTAGTTAAGCATGGAGGTGCACACCTGTAGTCTTAGCTGCTACTTGGGAGGCTGAGGTGGGAGGATAACTGGAGCCCAGGAATTGGAGGCTGCAATGAGCTAGGATTGCACCACTATACTCCAGCCTGGATGACAGAATGAGACCCTGTCTCTTAAAATATATATATATATTAATAAATAAAAAATCTTCCCAAATAAGATTAATTAAATAAATACCAATCTGTAGGCTGAAGCCTCTCACATTTCAAAGCACCTAAGCCCATGAGTTTATTGCACCCTCTCAGCACCACTGGAGGCAGATAGAGTGGCCCTGGGTACCCACTGGACAGATGAGGAAACAGGCTCAGAGAGGAGATGTTGGCAGCCAAGATGTCTGACCGCCTACCCAGTGCTCTGTACTCTGATGCCTACAAGTTCAAGGTCACGGGCTGGAGCACCGCTTCATCTTGTATGTCTCTCCTGCTAGAGCCATCTACAGGGAAGACCTGCCTGCCCAAGGCCTTGCTGAACCTGAGCAGCGGCCGCAATGACACCATCCCTGTGCTGCTGGACATCGCGGAGCGCACCGGCAACATGCGGGAGTTCATCAACTCGCCCTTCCGCGACATCTACTATCGAGGTGGGCCCCGGGCTGCGCAGGGGTGCCACGAGGGCTGGTGGAGATACTGTCCTTTGCTTGTCTGACCCCTGAGAGCTTTGATCTGGGCCTAAGTGCCAGCCTGTACCCAGGACCTGACGAATGAATGGATGGATGGATGGATGGATGGATGGATGGATGGATGGATGGATGAAGAACAGTAACTACCCCTTCCAACTTTGTTTTGAGTTTCAGAATAGAAGATTCCACTGGGCATGGTGGCTCTTACCTGTAATCCCAGCACTTTGGAAAGCCAAGGGGGGCAGATCGCTTGAGGTCAAGAGTTTAAGACCAGCCTGGCCAACATGGTGAAATCCCGTCCCTACTAAAAATGCAAAAAAAAAAAAAAAAAAAAATAGGGCCAGGTGCGGTGGCTTGTGCCTGTAACCCCAGGCCAACGTGGGGGGTGCAGATCACTTGATGTCAGGAGTTCAAAACCAGCCTGGACAACATGGTGAAATCCCGTCCTGACTAAAAATACAAAAATTAGCCACATTTGGTGGCATGTACCTGCAATCCCTGCTACTTGGGAGACTGAGGCAGAAGAATCACTTGAACCCGGGAGGTGGAGGTTTCAGTGAGCCAAGATCATGCCATTGCACCCCAGCCTGAGTAATAGACAAGAGCAAGACTCATCCCGAAAAAAAAAAAAAAAAAAAAAAAAAAAAGCCAGGTATGTTGGTGCACACCTGTAGTCCCAGGTACTTGGGAGACTGAGGTGGGAGGATCAGTTGAACTCAGAGGATCGAGGCTGCAGTGAGCTATGATTGTGCCACTGAGCTCCAGCCTGGGTGACAGAATGAGACCCTGTCTAAAAAAAAAAGATTCCAAGCTTCTGAGATGCAGCGAGTCTAGGGATCATGACCTGGGGATCTGCCCTAGGATGCTGCGGTGGTGGGTGCTCTAAGGCTCCATGATAATGAGTCCTGAGCTCACAAGCTCTGAGAGGCAAAGGCAGCAGGGAGCCAAGCTCCCCAGTTCTGAATTCTGAGATTCTGTAAATCAGAGTTGACCTTCAGATGCCTGGATATTAAGATTCAAAATCCAGGAATATTTTATCTTGAGTCCAAAATTCTGGGAGGCCAAGGTACTGTTGTTTCCTCTAGGATTTTTCTTTCTTTTTTCTTTTTTTTTTTGAGACAGGTTCTTGCTCTGTCACCCAAGCTGGAGTGCAGTGGTGTGATCATGGCTCACTACAGCCTTGATCTCCTGGGCTGAAGCGATTCTCCCACCTCACCTGCCCAAGTAGCTAGGACCACTGGCATGGACCACCATGCCAGGCTAATTTTTAAAATTTCTGTAGAGACGGGGTCTCATGTTGTTGTATTTGTCTGTTCTCATGCTACTATAAAGAACTGCCCAAGACTGGATAATGTATAAAGGAAAGAGATTTAATTGACTCACAGTTCCGCAGGGCTGGGGAGGCCTCAGGAAACTTACAATCATGGTGGAAGGGGAAGCAAACATGCCCTTCTTCACATGGTTCTAGGAAGGAGAAGTGCCAAGCAAAAGGGGAAAAGCCCCTTATAGAATCATCAGATCTCTTGAGGACTCACTCACCATCAAAACAGCATGAGGGTAACTGCCCTCATGATTAAATTACCTTTCATGGAGTCCCTCCCATGACACCGGGGGATTATGGGAACTACAATTCAAGGTAAGATTTAGGTGTGGACGCAGAGCCAAACCTTATCAGTTGCCCAGGCTGGTATTGAACTGCTAGGCTTCAGCAATCCTCCTGCCTCAGCCTCCTGAGTAGTTGGGACTACAGGGGTAAGTCACCAGGCCCAGCTAATTTTTAACATTTCTATAGAGATGGGATCTCACTGTGTTGCCCAGGCTTGCCTCAAACTCCTGGGCTCAGGTGATCTCCCTCCTCGGTCTCCCAAAGCACTGGGATTACAGGCGTGAACCACTGCACCTGGCCTCCTCTAGGATTTTTAAGGCGTCTTATGAATCTAAAAAGTTCTCACATTCAGGATTCCACAAACTGGGTATCCTTTGGGCTTGAGATTCTGCTTCTGCGATGGATCCTGGGGAATATTCAAGGGCCTATTTGCTGCCCTTGGGTGTTGCTGGGCAGGAATCTGCCTGCATTTCCCACCCCAATTTCTACATCCTGCACCCCACCCCCACCCCCAGCAAGCCTGGCTGGGTCTCTGCCCCGCCAGGGCCCTGAATGACTGTCCCGTGTCCCCAGGTCAGACGGCCCTGCACATCGCCATCGAGCGTCGCTGCAAACACTACGTGGAGCTCCTCGTGGCCCAAGGAGCTGACGTCCACGCCCAGGCCCGTGGGCGCTTCTTCCAGCCCAAGGATGAGGGAGGCTACTTCTACTTTGGTAAGGAGGGGCGTGGTGGGGGCCGACAGCGTGCTGGAGAAGCATGGCGGGAGATAGTGTGATACTGCTTGGTGTCTGCAGCCCTGACCATCCCCCAGACACCCGGGGCCACTCTGGCCATGGGCGCAGACAGCACTCTGGAGCACAGGCTGCACGCCGGTCTTGGTCACGGGGCCCTTGCCTCTGAGGTGTAAGTGCTATTGGGGAACTTGGCACCATGGACCTGGATTCAGATCCTCACTCCAGCCAGGCACGGTGGCTCACACCTGTCATCCCAGCACTTTGGGAGGTCAAGGCAGGAGGATCGCTTGAGGCCAGGAGTTTGAGACCAGGCTAGGCAACATAGCAAGACTCTGTCTCTTTTAAAAATTTAAAAAATGGCTGGGCGTGGTGGCTCATGCCTGTAATTCTAGCACTTTGGGAGGACAAGGCAGATGGATCACCTGAGGTCAAGAGTTCGAGACCAGCCTGGCCAACAACATGGTGAAACCCCATCTCTACAAAAATAACAAAAATTAGCTGGGCATGATGGTGGGTGCCTGTAATCCTAGTTACATGGGAGGCTGAGGCAGGAGAATTGCTCGAACCTGGGGGACAGAGGTTGCAGTGAGCCAAGATTTTCCCATTGCATTCCAGCCTGGGTGACAGAGTGAGACTCTGTCTCAAAAAAAAAAAAAAAAAAATAGATGTAATGGTGTCAAGTGCTTGTAATCCCAGCTGCTTCGGAGGCCAAGGCTGGAGGATCACTTGAACCTAGGAGTTCGAGGCTGCAGTGAGCTGTGATTGCACCACTGCATTCCAGCCTGGACAACAGAGCAAGACTCTGTCTTTAAAAAGCAAAAAGAAAACAAAAAAAAAAGCCAAATCCTCACTCTGCACTTTCCAGCCATGTGACCTCACTTCCCTCACCTTCCCCAGCTGTGCAGTGGGGATCATGAGAGGCCCTTGGGCTGTGTTGTCAGCACCCAGCCTGTATTGTCTGTGTCCTTTAATCCGGTTTATGCTGGGACCAACATCACCAGGCCCAAAGCCCACCACTGCCGTTGTCATCGCTGGACTCATGAAATATTTTGAATCTTGCCCGTGCTTAAAGGCACTCATTATGTGCAGCTCAGGGACAAAGTCACACAAAGAATTCCATCATCGGCTGGGCACGGTGGCTCATGCCTGTAATCGCGGCACTTTGGGAGGCCAAGGGGGGCAGATCACTTGAGGTCAGGAGTTTGAGACCAGCATGGCCAACATGGTGAAATCCTGTCTCTACTAAAAATACAAAAATTAGCCAGGTGTGGTGGCAGATGCCTGTAATCCCGGCTACTCGGCTGAGGCACAAGAATTGCTTGCACCCAGGAAGTGGAGGTTGTAGTGAGCCGAGATTGTGCCACTGCACTCCAGCCTGGGCGACGGAGTGAGACTTTGTCTCAAAAATAATAATAATAATAATTCCATCATTGGATGTGTCCAGTCCCTGACAGCCTCCGACTCGCATGGCTGTGCCCTTAACTAGCCATACCCTATCACCCTGGCATCACCCAGAGAAACGTGCAGTTCATATCTACTGCTGGTACTGTCTCCATCATCCTCAGAGTGCCACAGTGTCCATCGCCCGAGTGTCTGCAGGCAGAGTCCCACCCTGGGCCCCCTTCGCTGACCTCCCACCCTCCACCCTGGCCCGTAGGGGAGCTGCCCTTGTCGCTGGCTGCCTGCACCAACCAGCCCCACATTGTCAACTACCTGACGGAGAACCCCCACAAGAAGGCAGACATGCGGCGCCAGGACTCGCGAGGCAACACGGTGCTGCACGCACTGGTGGCCATCGCCGACAACACCCGTGAGAACACCAAGTTCGTTACCAAGATGTATGACCTGCTGCTGCTGAAGTGTGCCCGCCTCTTCCCCGACAGCAACCTGGAGGCCGTGCTCAACAACGATGGCCTCTCACCCCTAATGATGGCTGCCAAGACGGGCAAGATTGGGGTGAGTATACAGCTGGGGGCACAGCTGATCCACCCACTTGTGCCCCTCTACACACACACATGAGGGTCTGCTGCTGGTATTCATTATTGATATGTGCACACACCTCCCAACACGCCAACCCCAGTGTGCAGATGTCCCAGCTCAAGAACCTGCTATGGCTCCCTAGTGTCCAGCCAAGCTTCTTAGCTTCATCCCTGAGCCTCTTGCCTCATGTCACCCTACTGGATGTTCACCACTCCACCCCCACCAGCCAGGATGCGCCGCTGATAGGAAAGTGAGTCCCAGGGCTCTAGCCCAGCAGTGCTCCCAGCCTCGAACCTGCTGAGTGCCCCTGCCCTAGTTCCTTCCCCTTTCTGGGCTGCACAGCATGGGGCCTGGAGAAGGGTTTCTCAACTTCAGCACGATTACTTTGGGCGGCAGGTTCTTTGTGGTGGGGACCATCTTGTGCTTTTGCCAGACATTGATCTGCATCCCGGGTCTCTACCCACCAGATGCCAGGAGCACCTTCCCTTACACTTGTGACCACCAAAAATATCTCCAGAACGTTGCTGAAATGTCCTCTGGGGGGCACTGTCACTGTGTTTGGGAACCAAGTCTGGAGTGCCCTAGAGGCAGGAGCACCTGTCCAAGCCCCGGGGCTACCACTTCCCAGTGCGTGACCTCAGACATCTCATCTCCCTTTTCTGTGCCTCAGTTTCCTTGTCTGTAAAATGGGGATATAAGAGTGCCCTCTGGTGTGGTGTTGTGACAATTAAATGCGGTATCCACATAAGGCTCTTAGGAAGGAGCCCAGGAGAGGCAATAAGTGCTCACTTACATGTCTGTAATGCCAGCTAGTTGGGAGGCTGAGGTGAGAGGATTGTTTAAGTCCAGCCTGGGCAACATAGTGAGATCCTAAATAAATAAAAACCAAAGTAAAAATAAATAAATAAAAATGTAGCAAAAATTACTGAAATTGCAATTATTCCAGGACCCTGAGGCAGTAGAAAGGCTCCGGCTTAAATCCTAGCTTCGGCTGGGCTCGGTGGCTCATGTCTGTAAACCTAACACTTTGGGAGGCTGAGGTGGGAGGATCACTTGAGCCCAGGAGATTGAGGCTGCAGTGAGCTGTGATAGTGCCACTGCACTCCAGCCTGGGCAACAGAGCAAGAACCTGTCTCAAAAAAGACCCCAAAATCCTGGCTGGGCACGGTGGATCACGCCTGTAATCCCAGCACTCTGGGAGGCTGAGGTGGGTGGATCACCTGAGGTCAGGAGTTCAAGACCAGCCTGGCCAACATGATGAAACCCCGTCTCTACTAAAAATACAGAAATATTAGCCAGGTGTGGTAGTGGGCACCTGTAATCCCAGCTACTCAGGAGGCTGAGGCAGGAGAATTGCTTGAACCTGGGAGGCGACGGTTGCAGTGAGCTGAGATCACGCCACTGCACTCCATCCTGGGTGACAGAGTGAGATTCTGTCTCAAAACAAAATCAAACCCCAAAATCCTAACATTGCCTGACCTTGGGCAATTCCCAACCCCTCTCTGTGCCTCAGCTTCCCTGTGTGTAAGCCAGGCAAGGAGTGGTAACAGGAAGGACCGCATATGATCGTCAGTATTATAATTCACATATTATTAAGATGGATTCATTGCTATTTTAACGGCATGAAGAAGATATTCATTACAATTAAGATGTTGAAGGCTCATTCAGGTTCCGTCTGGCTCCAGCTGACTGGTTAAGTGTCTTCTGGAACACCTTTCATTTTTCCCAGCCTCCACTCCTTATCTGTAAACCAAGATAATAAGAGCAAGAATTAAACAAGATGAGGAAGGGGTCCTCCAGCAGCCGGTGCTCAGCTGTTTTCTGGGGAGGCGTCATGTGCTGAGCTGGGCCCAGCCCTGGGGACCTCTCCAGTGTGAGCCCCCTGACCCTCCTGGCCCCCTGTGTAGATCTTTCAGCACATCATCCGGCGGGAGGTGACGGATGAGGACACACGGCACCTGTCCCGCAAGTTCAAGGACTGGGCCTACGGGCCAGTGTACTCCTCGCTTTATGACCTCTCCTCCCTGGACACGTGTGGGGAAGAGGCCTCCGTGCTGGAGATCCTGGTGTACAACAGCAAGATTGAGGTGGGCTCCAGGAGAGGGCATGGGGTGTGAGGAAGGAGGGGCAGGGCTGGGAGCAGGGATGGGGCCCTGGGGCTGGGCTAGGGGAGAGAGCCCCAGCCTCTAGGGCCCAACGTGGTGGATCTGTTGGCTGAATGCAAGAGAAGGTGCCAATTAAGTGCCCAGAACAGTGTCTGGTATGTGAGGAAATGAGCAAGACTTGTGGGAAGGTGGACTTTTGGAGCAGGTAGGACTGGGTTGGGATCCTGGCTCTGTAACTTACATGCTGTGTGTCTCAGGACAAGTGGCCCCACCTCTGTGGGTCTCAGCTTCCTCGTTTGTAACCTGGGGATAAGGATCATGCATATCCCATGGGGCTGTTGGGAGGACCAAAGAGGTTAATTTTAGAATGGCGTGGTACAGAGTAAAGATTATGTCAGCTTTTACCATTCGTGGTTGTTATATGAACTTTTGAAAGCTCTTTTTTTCAGCGAGGCGTGGTGGGTTATGCCTGTAATTCCAGCATTTTGGGGAGCCAAGGTGGGCGGATTGCTTGAAGCCAGGAGTTTGACACCAGCCTGGGCAATATGGCGAAACCCTGTCTCTACAAAAATAAAAATAAAAATAAAAGTTAGCTGGGCATGGTGGTGCGAGCCTGTAGTCCCAGCTACTTGGGAGGCTGAGGTGGGAGGATCACCTGAGCCTGGGGAGGTCGAGGCTTCAGTGAGCTAAGATCATGCCACTGCACTCCAGCCTGGGTGACAGAGGGAGACCCTGTCTCAAAAAACAAAACAAAACAACCTTTTTTTTTTCTACTTAGCAATATTTTGTGAACATCATTCTGTAGTTTTAAATATTCTTTGGTAATATTGTCGCTGCATGTAAATGTACCATATTCAAATGAACCGTTCTGTTATTGTTGGTTGCTTGGGTTTGTTTCTGCCTGTAACTATCAGGAATAACACTACAAGAGCATCTCTGTGGCTGTGTTATTGCACAAATCATGATTATGGAGAAACTCAAGTCATTAAAGGGCTAGGAAGCTATACAAAGGGAGCAGAAAATGCTAGGGACTGGGTGCAGGTAGTCACCCTTCTAACCCTGCCCTGTGGCTTACTGGTCTGTGAGCTTGGCTTCCTTGCAAGACCTCATTTCTCTTATTTTTTGAATTAGTGGCCATCTTGATTTAAATTAGTAGTGGCAGCAGGTTTAGCATCTCAGGTGCAAACTGATTGATTGGTAGTGTCTATCCAGGGAACTGTATGTATACAATTGTGCAGGGCTCAATTATTGATGGCTGCCCTGGGTTCAGAATTGGAGAATTGTGGTAAGTCAATCATTTATCATCTTTGGGCAAAAATTTCTCAATCTTTCTCTCTGAATCAGAATTTCTGAGAATGGAGGCCAGGATTTATACTTGCAGCAAGCTACATAGATGATTTTGCGGCCAACAGCTTGGTACTATCCACAGATTGGAGTTTGGGAACCATGAGAATAAATGTCCTTTTTTCTTTTTTGAGACGGAGTCTCGCTCTTGTTGCCCAGGCTGGAGTGCAGTGGCACAATCTAGGCTCACTGCAATCTCCGCCTCCCAGGTTCAAGTGATTCTCCTGCCTCAGCCTCAGGAGTAGCTGGGATTACAGGTGCCCGCCACCACGCCCGGCTAATTTTTGTAGTTTTAGTAGAGTCAGGGTTTCACCACGTTGGATAGGCTGGTCTTGAACTCCTGACATCAGGTGATCTGCCTGTCTCGGACTCCCAAAGTGCTGGGATTACAGGCATGAGCCACCGTGCCCTGCCTGAAAATAAATGTCTTTTAAGGGACTTTCCAGTTCTGAGTTCTGTGATGCTAGAATAGGGCGGAAAGGTACATTGAGGCAGAATTGGGCGGAATCTCAAATGGTGAGTGCGGGAGCTTGGGGCTGATGTTCAGTATGTGTCCAGTTCCCCATGAATCCTTGAACGCAGCTGAGGAATGGATGGAAAGAGAAAGCGCTGTTGGGGCGGAGGGTGGGGGAAAGCACAGCCGGGGCAGCCTGCCAGGACCCCCCACCTCAGGAAGGCAGCCCCTGACCACCCTGCTTCTCACAGAACCGCCACGAGATGCTGGCTGTGGAGCCCATCAATGAACTGCTGCGGGACAAGTGGCGCAAGTTCGGGGCCGTGTCCTTCTACATCAACGTGGTCTCCTACCTATGCGCCATGGTCATCTTCACCCTCACTGCCTACTACCAGCCGCTGGAGGGCACGGTGAGTGCCCAGACACCGGGCAGGGGCTGGGGCAGGCACTGGCTGGGCCATGCAGGACGGGGGCACAACCTCGTCCCTCTGGGTCCCCTGTAGGAGGAACTGGAGAAGGTTTAGGAACAGGTTGGGGAGGCGCCCTCCAACATGCAGGGGTGGCCCTGAGCTGGGAGGAGGGGGACTCAGGAGCAAGAGAGTGAAGGAGGAGGCTACATGGGATCCAGATGTTTTGGGTCTGGGGGAACATCTGGATTGGGGGCCAGATGTTGGAGGGGCCGGGTGACGACCTGTGTGCCCTTGCTGCTCCCCAGCCACCGTACCCTTACCGCACCACGGTGGACTACCTGCGGCTGGCTGGCGAGGTCATTACGCTCTTCACTGGGGTCCTGTTCTTCTTCACCAACGTGAGTGCCTGGCCCCCGTGCCCCCCACTCTGCCTGCTCTCCTCTTCCTCTTCTCTTCCTGCACCTCTTTTCTCTCCTTCTTCTCTTCTCTCTCCTCCAAATCGTCCTTCTCCTTTCCTTCCTCCTTTTATTTTCCCATTTCTCTTCTACCTCCTCCAATCCCATGTTCTCTATCTCTGCTTTTTTCTCCTTTTCTAACAGGAAAGAGTCCTTTGTCTTTTCTCTGTACCAGCCCCTGCCTCCCTATCTTCTGTCCCTTTCTCTGTCTCCTCTTTCCTCCTCTCCTCTCCTGCTGGCCCCACCCCTTTCACGTGCCCCCTCCTGTCTTCCAGATCAAAGACTTGTTCATGAAGAAATGCCCTGGAGTGAATTCTCTCTTCATTGATGGCTCCTTCCAGCTGCTCTAGTAAGTGGAGGTCCCTGGGCCAGCAGGTTTTGGGTGAGGAAGGTGGGTTTGGGTTGCTAGGTCATCCAGATTCAGGAAAGAGGTGATTCTATTAGAATGAATCCACCCAACCTGGGCAGCTCTAACCCAAAGTCAGGACAAAGCCACAAACAACAGGGTTTTCTGGTTAAAGAAAAATTCTAATTGCTAGGGAGTTATCATATATACCATGGATAGAAATAATTATGCTGGTGAATGATTGCTAATGTCTGCCTGAAGGGCCATGTTAAGAATTTTGCACCTGTGTCTGTGTTTAGTGGGAAAGAGTTGAGATTGATTAATGATGTCTGCCTGGGACACAGGATGAGAGAGTTACTGCGTGTGTGTTACCTCTTCCACATTTCCCTTAGAATTGGAGAACGATGAAATTCACTTAGCCACAAAGTCTCCACTGAACACCACTAAATCTGTCTTTAGCAATTCCAAGGGGCATCACTTTAGAATCTTGTGGGACCTCAGGATTAATTGTCAGCTCATTGAATGTTGTTGTTAACAGAAAGCTGGGGAACCCTGCTAATCCACTTTGTTTCTTTCCTGGGGGTCTAGAAGGCATTGGGAAGTCCTGATACCCTGGAGGGCTTGGAGGCTTGTCTCCCCCTCCGGAGCCTCATTGTCCCCTCTCCCCTCTGGCCTCTCTTGTGGTCTCTGCTGCACTGCAGCTTCATCTACTCTGTCCTGGTGATCGTCTCAGCAGCCCTCTACCTGGCAGGGATTGAGGCCTACCTGGCCGTGATGGTCTTTGCCCTGGTCCTGGGCTGGATGAATGCCCTTTACTTCACCCGTGGGCTGAAGCTGACGGGGACCTATAGCATCATGATCCAGAAGGTACGGGCTGGGAGGGCCCTCTGGACTCGTGTGTTCCTGGAGGGAGCCACACACACCACATGCACACTTATGCGCCTGCAGACCTGAGGATGCCGGGTACCGTGAGGGCAGGAGGCATGGTCTGGACACTGGGGTGGGACCAGGGTGGAGATAGAGAAATGGGGAAAGTGAGAAACCACATGTCTCCTGTTTGCCTCCATAATCCCACTGGGGTCTTTAGATCCTCTTCAAGGACCTTTTCCGATTCCTGCTGGTCTACTTGCTCTTCATGATCGGCTACGCTTCAGGTGAGCTCTGGGTGCTCAGGTGGGCCTGGTAGGGGTGGTGCAAGGACGGGAACAGTAGCCATGATATATTGGGGACAATAGCAGCCTTGCTGAGTTCTTTTTTTTTGAGATGGAGTTTCACTCCTGTTGCCCAGGCTGGAGTGCAATGGTGCAATCTCAGCTCACTGCAACCTCCACCTTCCAGGTTCAAGCGATTCTCCTGCCTCAGCCTCCCATGTAGTTGGGATTATAGGCTCCTGCCACCACGCCCCACTAATTTTTTTTTTGTATTTGTAGTAGAGACAGGGTTTCACCCTGTTGGCCAGGCTGGTCTTGAACTCCTGACCTCAGGTGATCCACCCATTTTGGCCTCCCAAAGTTCTGGGATTACAGGTGTGAGCCAATATGCCTGGCCACTGAGTTCTTATTTGTATGCCAGGCACTAGACTAAGTAACGTTTCCATCCTTGACCCCCAACAAGCCTGTAAGCTAAGTGCCTTTATTATCCCCTGTTATAGAAAAGGAAACTGAGGCTTAGGAGGGTTAAATAACTAGCACAAGTTCAAAAGCCAGTGAATGGTGGCTGGGTGCAGTGGCTCACGCCTGTAATCCCAGCACTTCGAGAGGCCAAGGTGGGTGGATCACTTGAGGTCAGGAGTTTGAGACCAGCCTGGCCAACATGGCGAAACCCTGTCTCTACCAAAAAATACAAAAATTAGACAGGCATGGTGGCACGCAACTATAGACCCAGCTACTCGGAAGGCTGAGGCACAAGAATCGCTTGAACCCAGAAGGTGGAGGTTGCAGCGAGCCAAGATGGCACCACTGCACTCCAGCCTGGGCAACACAGCGAGACTCTGTCTCAAAAAAAAAAAAAAGAAAAAAAGCTAGTGAATGGTAAAACTGGAGTGTCAGCTATTGCTACAAAAGAAGCCACCTAAAGCTTAGTGGCTTAAAATAGCACCCACTTGTTGTTATTATTATTATTATTGTTTGTTTTTTTGTGGCAAGGTCTCTGTAGCTGAGGCTGGAGGGCAGTGGTGCTCTTGGCTCACTGCGACCTCTGCCTCCCAGGTTCAAGCGATTCTCTTGCCTCAGCCTCTCGAATAGCTGGGATTACAGGCGTGTGCCACCATGCGTGGCTAAGTTTTATATTTTTGGTAGAGATGGGGTTTCACCATGTTGGCTAGGTTGGTCTCGACCTCCTGACCCCAAGTGATCTACCCACCTTGGCCTCCCAAAGTGCTGGGATTATAGGCGTGAGCCACTGTACCAGGCCAACTTATTATTGCTTATGAGTCGGTGGGTCAGCTGGGTGGCTGTGCTGCCCTGGGCCAGGTTTGGTTGATCCCTACAGGCTCTTGTGCCTGTGGTCAGCTGGCAGGCTGGCTGCCGGCTGACTAGTCTAGCTAGTATGGACTTGGTTAGAGGGGCTTTGCTATCTATCTTCCACGTGGTCACTCATCTCTGGCTAGCTAGCTTGGGCTTGTCCATATGGTAGCCTTAGGCTTCCAAGAACATGAGCAGAAGTGTTCAAGGACACCTACTGGCATGGCATCACTGCTGTCTTACTCTGTTGGCCAAAGCAAGTCCCAAGGCCAGCCTCGATTCAACGGATGGGGAAATAGACGTCATTTCTTTTTTTTCTTGTTTTTGGGTAGAGACAGGGTCTCGCTATGTTGCCCAGTCTGGTCTTGAACTCCTGGGCTCAAGCAGTCCTCCCACCTCAGCCTCCCAAAGTGCGGGATTATAGGCGCGAGCCACCATGCCTGGCCTAGACTCCACTTCTTGGTGGGAGAAGCTGTAAAGCCACATTGAAGGGGCATGGATACATGGAAGGATAAAATTTAATAATTAAACTACTAGCCCAGGTATTTTCTTAAAGCCTGACATCAGCTCCCTTTGATACACCTTCTCCCTGATGTCATGATGCCACTCAGAAGCATTCTGGGACCTCAGTGGCATGGGCCATGAGGGAAGGACCAGGGACCAGGGCTGGAGAAACTGACCAAGTCCTTGGGCTGGTCCCTGAGGGGTGGGTGATCTGACATCAATGCCCAGCATCCAAAGGGGAGTGGCCAGCTCAGGTTAGACCCAGACACATTCACATCTGAGCAGGTTCATCTGGGGACGAGTCTGGCACAGGAATCTCATGAGGGTGATACTTTAACCCATGACGGTGGCCAAGGCTCTATGTGGATTATTGGGGGGAAGTGGAATTGTGGTTTTCACTAGGGAGATAGGGACAGGGTACAGCTTTCCCCTTCCAGGGATCACACTGGAAAAACTAGACAGTGTCAAGGATTCAGCAGTTTGGGATTCAGGTCAGCGATCTAGCCCTACTGCAGTCCTAGTTATTGAAACCGAGCAGAAACAAGGGTTAGAGTAGCAGCTGAGAAGTCAGCTCAGTCACAGGGCTTCTCCTTATAGGATGCACTAGATCTCGGTTCTGAGGCTGACATGACATAAACAGGACACACACGCTTCTCTTCCCACACTTTGGTGCCCATAGCAGACATTACTAATGGATCACAGAACAGTTTTTCTGGTGAGTCCAGACAAGGTCTCAGAATCCTTCTCTGTTGAGAAGGTGCTATACAACTGAAGAGCATTAGCATATGAGTTGAAATCTGCATACTCTGATCTCTGGTTGCAGGCAATATGACATTCTATGCCCCACTGACTGATGGGACTGAGCCTTCTTCATGCTCCCCTCCCTTGCTGGTTTAGGGACAGGTTGTTGCTGCCAAACTGTGTTGAGAAGGAATCTGAAGCTTCACCTGGGCTTAGTAGGAAAGGAGAACCATGATGAGTTTGAGATGTCTGGAACAGGAGAGGCCCCTTAGAGAACATGGCTTCGGGGACAGTCAGGACTGGTGCCTGGTTTCAGCCCCCATTTTTCCTCTCTGGGTTGGGGTGCAGTGGGAAGCTGTCAGAGAGAGAGTCTGCCCCTGGGAATAGGGACATTCCAGAGCCCCCAGTACCTCTAAGAATGGTAGGTTGCATTAGGATTTCCCAACACTATTGACATTTGAGACCAGATCATTCTTAGTGGCAGGGACCATCCTCTGCATTGCAGGGTGTTGGGCAGCACCCCTGGCCTCCACCCACCTGATGCCAGTAGCACCCCCACCCCCAGTCGTAACAACCCAATATGTCTTTAGACATTGTCAAATGTCCCCTGATGGGGAAAACTGAGACCCTCCCTGGACTAGATCCTGAAAACCTCTTCCCTCCCAGTAGCAGGGAACCACCAGGTTGTGTAAGGAGGGGTGAACTGTCCCAGGTTGGAAACAGAGCAGGTCAAAACTCCCATGCTTTTCAGTAGTGAGATTGCGCCTGTGAGTAGTCACTGCACTCCATCCTGGGCAACATAGCAAGACCCCATCACAGAAAGAAAGAGAGAGAGAGAGAGAGAGAGCGAGAGCGAGAGAGAGAGAGAGAACCTCTTCCTATAAGCAAGAGTTTTTGGAAAGAGCAAAGGCTTCAAAGGCTTTGGGATCAGGAGGACCTGGGTTTGGTGTGGCTTGGCTGACGTGCAGGGTGACACAGGTCAGTGTGTGGGCCAGGGTGCTCCCCTCATTAGGCCTCAGCTTTCCCCTCCAGCAAATGAAAATGACACCCTCCACCTCTCTGTGCATGTCCTCACACTCAGCGAGTGCCACCCCCACCCCTCCCACAGCCCTGGTCTCCCTCCTGAACCCGTGTGCCAACTTGAAAGTGTGCAATGAGGACCAGACCAACTGCACAGTGCCCACTTACCCCTCGTGCCGCGACAGCGAGACCTTCAGCACCTTCCTCCTGGACCTGTTTAAGCTGACCATCGGCATGGGCGACCTGGAGATGCTGAGCAGCACCAAGTACCCCGTGGTCTTCATCATCCTGCTGGTGACCTACATCATTCTCACCTTTGTGCTGCTCCTCAACATGCTCATTGCCCTCATGGGCGAGACGGTGGGCCAGGTCTCCAAGGAGAGCAAGCACATCTGGAAGCTGCAGGTGAGGCCCCAGGGCCCCCAGCCCCATCCCACCGGCCACCCTTGTCCTTCTAAGGACACTCACCCGACTGGCTTCCTCGGCCTTCCATTCTGAGCAAGCCGTGTCTTCTCATTCTGCCTCCACTTCCCTGTCTGTAAAATGGGCATCAGAGGCTGCTGCTGACTTCCCGGAGCTGCCTCATGAATTTCGAGGTGGCTTCTTGCCTGGCCACCAGCAGTGGACTCAGATTCTCCTTGCGGTTCAGCTCACAGGACACAGTTGACTCCACCCCGCATGACTGAGTGACTTCTGCCAGCTCAGAAAGTGCTCAGTGGCCATCAGCGTTTCAGCAGGTGTCCCATGCTGAGCCCAGGGGCAGCTTTTGTGCTTCAGCACGCCAGCACAGGGATGTCAGCATTCTCACGGGGGTCTTTTACTAGCAACCGTGAGCATGCTTCCTAGAGGAGAAACCAGTGGGGATAGGGGCTGCCTTGGCCCCGGGGAGCTGCAGCCTTTACTTCCCAAAAGCTTTCTATACAATCCTGGGAAGCGCAGGCCCTGGGATCACAGCCCTCCCAGGCCAGGTGCAGCCTCCAAACCTGGTGTCCTAATAAACAGTGCTGCCCCATGGCCCAGGAATACAGCACCCTTATTTATTTTGACTGTGCATTTCAGGAAAATGGTGCAGTGAAAAAAAAAGGCCCAAGGTTGTCCTCCCAGGACTGCGTCTGAGGGAAACAACTCCGGCCTGCTCTTAACCTTTATCTGTATTGCTTACTTCATTGGGCCTCAGTTTCCCCACTGGGCATTACAGGATGCAAACAGGGCATCCTGTGGGCTGGAGTGCAATGGCACGCTCTTGGCTCACTGCAACCTCTGCCTCCCAGGCTCAAGTGATTCTCCGACCTCAGCCTCCCAAGTAGCTGGGACTAAGGTGTGCACCACTGCACCTGGCTAATTTTTGTATTTTTTGTAGAGATGGGGTTTCACCATGTTACCCAGGCTGGTCTTGAACTTCTGAGCTCCAGCGATCGGCGGGCCTTGGCTTCCCAAAGTGCTGAGATTGCAGGTGTGAGCCATTCCACCCAGCCTCAGACCATTATATTAAAAAAAAAAAACTGCAAATTTAAAAATTAAGAGTTTCCCTATGAAAATCCAGATTTCCGGCTTTTCTTGAAAAGTTGGAAGCCCCAGGCAGTGCAGGGTCCAAATTTCTGCCTGGGAGCCCTCAGGTGGGGTAAGTGGCAGCTACCCCCTTAAATGGGGGCATTTGCTCCCTGTTCGCCCCAGTCTCCACCCCTCCCTCATGTTCTCAGCACTGAGTGGCGACTGCTGTGTCAGTGTGATGGGGCTTGGACTGCAGCCTTTCTGCACCTGATCCTGTTTCACCCATTTGTTTTCCTGCCTGCCACCTGTGGGTGTTTGCGTTTATACATCCTGTGTCTAGGGGGCGGTAGGAGTGTAAATGCCTAGTTCTGGGCCCACCCTGGCCGCTTGTCTCATTTCCGCCATCAGAGCGGCAGGCGCGGGCTGTGAGGCTCACTGAGGTCCCTCCTGACCCTCCCTCTCCGCAGTGGGCCACCACCATCCTGGACATTGAGCGCTCCTTCCCCGTGTTCCTGAGGAAGGCCTTCCGCTCCGGGGAGATGGTCACTGTGGGCAAGAGCTCAGACGGCACTCCCGACCGCAGGTGGTGCTTCAGGTGAGGCTGGGGCAGTGGGGCCGGGCAGGCAGGGCGGAACCGTCCCCACTGGCTCGGGGACCCTGCTGCTCCAGCGTCGTCTACCCATTGCAATTTCTGGAGCCACTGAGGCCCCAAGAGGCCCAAGCAGAGTTTATTTCCACCAGGCGATCTTAGGCAAGTCGGCCCACCTCTCTCAGCCTCAGTTTCTTCATCTGTGAAATGAGACAATGATCGCATGGGCTGCTAGGCTGGTGGTGCGGATTAGACAGGTCAGCACATGAGAAGTGCTCTGCCAGTGCCCGACGCGCATTGGGACACCACAGGCTCCCCTGTTCCTTGCTCAGCGGGAAGCAGAGACTTGGGTGGTGGGTTCATTTCAGAGCATCACCCTCTATCTAGCAAACAGTGGGGTGGGCTCTAGTGCCTTGGGTGAAATGGGAAGCTGAGGAATCTGCAGTTTCCAGGGCTGGAGACCTCACCCAGCCCATCTGCAGAATGACTCTGTGTTCCAGAGGCACAGGGAGTGCCAGCTTCTTAGATGAACCCCTTCATGAATCTTTTCTTTTCAGTTGATTCATTCTTTAAAGTGGTTGCCAGCATAAAGCATAAGCAGAATGTTGTTTGTTTGTTTGTTTTGAGACGGCGTCTTGCTCTGTCTCCCAGGCTGTAGTGCAGTGGCACGATCTCGTCTCACTGCAAGCTCTGACTCCTGGGTTCACGCCATTCTCCTGCCTCAGCCTCCCGAGTAGCTGGGACTACAGGCGCTTGCCACCGCACCCGCCTAATTTTTTGTATTTTTAGTAGAGACGGGGTTTCACCGTGTTAGCCACGATGGTCTTGATCTCCTGACCTCGTGATCCACCCGTCTCAGCCTCCCAAAGTGCTGGGATTACAGGCCTGAGCCACTGCACCTGGCTGAGCATAAGCAGAATGTTTGGAGTCAGGCAAAGTCAGTTTCCTCGTCTGTAAAATGGGAACAATAACAGCACCCACCTCCTAGGCCAGCTGATCAGTTCAATTCCATTTTTTATGTTTGTTTTTAGAGGCAGGGTTGCTCAGGCTGGAGTGCAGTGGTGTGATCATAGCTGACTGCAGCCTCCAACTCCTGGGCTCAAGCAATCCTCCCATCTCAGCCTCCTCATGCCACCATGTCCGACCAATTTTTAATTTTTTTGTAGAGATGGGGTTCTTGCTATGTTGCCCAGGCTGGTCTCAAACTCCTGGTCTCAAGCGATCCTCCCACCTCAGCTTCCCAAAATGCTGGAATTCCAGGTGTGAGCCACCACCCCCAGCCTCTGTTCAGTTTGAATCCAAAGCTCAAATCCTAGCTGGGTGTGGTGGTTCACGCTTGTAATCCCAGCACTTTGGGAGGCCAAAGCAGGAGGATTGCTTGAGGTCAGGAGTTTGAGACACCCTGGGTAACAGGTGAAATCCTGTCTCCACTAAGAACACAAAAACTAGCCGGGCGTGGTGGCAGGCACCTGTGATCCCAGCTACTCAGGAGGCTGAGGCAGGAGAATTGCTTGAACCTGGTAGGTAGAGGTTGCAGTGAGCTGAGACTGCGCCACTGCACTCCAGCCTGGGGGACAGAGCAAAACTCTGTCTCAAAACAAACAAAAATGAATAGATAGGATAATATGTAAAAAATAAAAAAAGATAATATGTCAAAACAAATGAGTGGATAAACAAAATGTGGGTTATGCGTACAGTGATATATTATCTGGGCCAGGCGTGGTGACTGTAGTACCAACACTTTGGGAAGCAAGGCAAGAGGATTGCTTGAGCCCAGGAGTTCAAGATTAACACAGTGAAACCCCATCTCTACAAAAAAATTTAAAAAATTTAGCCAGGTGTGGTGGCATATGCCTGTAATCCCAGCTACTCGGGGGGCTGAAGTGGGAGGATCACTTGAGCCTGGGAGGTCAAGTTTGCAGTGAGCTGTGATAGTGACACTGCACCCTCCCCTGGGCAATGGAGTGAGACCCTGTCTCAAAAGAAGGATAAAAGAAAAAATTTCTGCTTGGGGAAATGGAAGAGTTTTGGAAATAGACAGCAGTGATGGTCACACAATGTGGATGTGCTTAATGCTACTGAATTGTATACTCAAAAATGATTAAGATGGAAATTTTGTGTGTGTGTGTATACACACACATACACACACAACCAATACACACACACACACATATACACACACACAACCAATACACACACACACAAATACACACCCCCAATTTTTTTTTTTTGAGATGGAGTCTCACGCTCTGTCCCCCAGGTTGGAGTGCAGTGGTGTGATCTTGGCTTCAACAAAGCAACCGCCTCCCATTCAAGCGATCTCCCTCCTTCAGCCTCCTGGGTTGGTGGTGACTACAGGCCCACCATGGGACTACGGGCCACCGCATCCCTGCTAATTTTTTTTTTTTTTTTTTTATGTTGTTAAAGAGGCGGGTTTCACCATGTTGGCCAGGCTGGTCTTGAACTCCTCACCTCAAATGATCCACCCACCTTGGCCTCCCCAAAGTGCCGATGCCAGGCATTGAGCCCCACGCCCAGGCTTTGTTATGTAAATGTTACCATAACAACAAAAGGAAGGGTGTGCTGGGGATGGTGGCATGGGGAACATCTCTGTGGGGCTCCCCATGACCCTCTGCTTGGGCCCCACCAGGGTGGATGAGGTGAACTGGTCTCACTGGAACCAGAACTTGGGCATCATCAATGAGGACCCGGGCAAGAATGAGACCTACCAGTATTATGGCTTCTCACACACCGTGGGCCGCCTCCGCAGGGGTGAGTGGAAGGGTGGGTGCAGAGGGGAGCCCATCCCTTCTCATCACAAGTTTGCTTTGAGCAGTCCTGCTCCTTTCCGGGACTCGGTGTCCGTGTCTGCAGAATGAGAGAGTGTGCCCCTGAGTTTCCTCTGCTGCCCGTGAGTGCCTGGGGTACCTCACCTACATGGCTTCATCCTGGCCATCCCTACTGTTGACATGAGCTGGCCTGGGGAGGGAGGACGAGCTCCTCAGCCTTGCCCATGTGGAGAAAACCTTCGTGTTTGTCCAGTAAGCCGTTAGCATGCAAGATGAAGCTGGAGAGGACACGGGCACTCAGGGCATTCGGCTCCAAGCTTGAATCCTGGTTCCTCCATTCTCTCCTGGGGAGGCACCTTGACCTCTCTTGAGCCCCAGTTTCAACCTCTGTAAAATGAGCATAGTCACACCCCCCCCAACCCCTTCAGAGCACTGTGGAGTGCCCAGTACACAGTAGGCACTCAATATATGCACACTATCTCTCCACCAACCCCCAACCCCTCCCTCTGATGTGCTCGCGGTGCAGATCGCTGGTCCTCGGTGGTACCCCGCGTGGTGGAACTGAACAAGAACTCGAACCCGGACGAGGTGGTGGTGCCTCTGGACAGCATGGGGAACCCCCGCTGCGACGGCCACCAGCAGGGTTACCCCCCCAAGTGGAGGACTGATGACGCCCCGCTCTAGGGACTGCAGCCCAGCCCCAGCCTCTCTGCCCATCCATTTCTAGTCTAGCCGCATTTCAGCAGTGCCTTCTGGGGTGTCCCCCCACACCCTGCTTTGGCTCCAGAGGCGAGGGCCCAGTGGAGGTGCCAGGGAGGCCCCAGGACCCTCTGGTCCCCAGACCCTGCCTCCCCACCCTGGGGTGGGGGCTCCCGGCCACCTGTCTTGCTCCTATGGAGTTACATAAGCCAACGCCAGAGCCCCTCCACCACAGGGTTCAGGCCTCTGCCCCTGCCTCTCCATTATTTATTTGCTCTGCTCTCAGGAAGCGACGTGACCCCCGCCCCAGCTGGAACCTGGCAGAGGCCTCAGGACCCCGTTCCAAGTGCACTGCCCAGCCAAGCCCCAGCCTCAGCCTGTGCCTGAGCTGCATGTGCCACCATTTTTGGAAGCGTGGCAGCTTTGCAAGGGGCTGTGGCCCTCGGCATGGGGCCGTGCCTTCTGTATGTTCTGTAGAGCGTCTGGGATTTGCTGGTGCTCAATAAATATTTTTTCATTGATGGTGGAGATGGCAGGACGATGGCGGGGGTGGGAGGGATGGTAACAGGCATGAGACTACAGCGAGGGAGATGGGAGAGCTAGGAAATGCCTGGGGGGAGCCAGGGGCAGGGGTGAGAGTGAGGGCAGAAGTGCTGACCTGGAGGCATTTAGAGTGTTGGTGGTTGGGGGCTGGACTGGGTGGTTGTGATGGTGATGGTGGCCTGAGAGGTGGCTGAGGTGGCTGTAGGGAAGGTGGGGGTGGAGGGAGGGGAGCAGGGTGATGCTGGTGGGGGTAATAATGCTGGTCAGGGAGAGTCAAGTTGGCAGGGCAAGAGTGATGCTGGTGGGGGTGACAGTAGTGCTGGCTGGGGGATAATGATCCCCGTGGAAACAGTACATTTGGGCAGCGGAGAGTAATGCTGGCTGGGGGTTGACGGTGCACGTGTGGGGGCTCTGCTGCTCATCAGGGAACAGTCATGCTGGGAGTGCTGCAGGGAGGGCTGTCCTGCAAGTGGGGAGGCGTAGCAGTGGGCGAGCCTGGAGTGTCAGCAGGAGTACTGGGTGTGCACGCGGGTTGCTGTGGTGAGGACTATGGTAGCAGGGGCACATTGGCAGTGCTTGTGGAGCTGGGATGGGTGGGGGTCGTGGTGTTGCTGGCTGAGTGGGATGGTGCCTCCTTGAGGACTGCCTGCCTGTGTCTGTCCACGGGGCCGCATGCCACCTGGAGCTCTGAGCCATGAGCCAGAGGTGAGGCTGACCCTCTTCCCTTCTGTATTAGTCTGTTCTCACGCTGCTGATAAAGACATAGTCGAGACTGGGTAATTTATAAAGAAAAAGAGGTTTAATGGATTCATAGTTCCATGTGGCTGGGGAGGCCTCACAATCATGGCAGAAGGTGAAAGGCACATCTTACATGGCAGCAGGCAAGAGAGAAGAGAGCTTGTGCAGGGAAACTCCCCTTATAAAACCACCAGATCTTGTGACACTATCACCAGAACAGCACATGAAGGACCCGCCCCCATGATTCAGTTACCTCCCACCAGGTCACTCCCACGACACGTGGGAATTGTGGGAGCTGTAGTTCAAGAGATTTGGGTGGGGACACAGCCAAACCATATCACCTTACCAGGGCAGCCATTAGCCTGGGGTCACACCCAACACCAATCAAGTTCTGAGGCAGCTCCAGACCTCCTGGCATGAGGAGGGACCCCACAAACACCCACCCTGCTGCCCCCACCCCAAAGCCAAGGAAGCCACAGCCAGCTAGAGTTTCCCATGGCCTCCCAGCTCCGGGTCCAGCCTGGGGCTGGGATCTCACATCCTTCTGAAGCTTCAGTTGAGAAGAGCTTGGGTCTGGGAGGAGACCAAGGCCAAGAGCAGCTGCAGTGGAAAATAGCACGGGGCTTGGGTTGAGCAGTCCTGGATTTGCATTGGCAATGGGTTATTTGGTTCAGGGAATGTTAGTTGAGTCACTTTACCTCTCTGGGCCTCCACCTCTTCATCTGTCAGAAGGGGAGAGTCAGTGGCAGGAGGGACATGAGTCTACCAAGCTCCATGAGCAGGAGGGAGGACTCAGATTATCACCAAGTCTGGCCAGGGGGCTCCAACCCCTGACCTCCTCCTACATTGCTTTCCAGGAGCAGATTGTACCCCTTGTGGTCCAGGGTAGCCCAATTCTTCCCAGGGCTCCATGATTTTTTATCTGTTCCCACACCCAGACGGGGTCCTCAGCCAGCGCTCTCAACAGGCATCCCCAAAGCCATTCTGGTTAGATGGGTTGTGTCGAAGGCTGCGCCTGAGCCAGTCCCCATGTCCGGGTGACCGGGTGCTTCCTGGTGAACCTCCCCAGAACCACAGGGAACCCCAGCTAAGAGTGGCAGGTCAGCTCTTCGGAGGCTGCAGACAAACATCTTTCCCTCAGGCCAGGCTCTGGGAAGGAGTAGCCAAGTGACTGAGCCCCTGGGGCTCAACTCTGAGAAAGGCAGTAGGTCTGGGGCAGAGAGAGAAACACTTTTCCTTTTCCTGTACTCTGATTGAAGTGAAAACACTCTTAAGTTGTTGCTGTTGGGCTTTTCCCCTGGGTTGGTCAGAAGACAAAATGGCCACCTGGATCTTCCCTTAAAGCTGGTTGTTTGGGACAAGGAGGGGGCCTATTTTGCCTTGGGTGCCCTCGAAACAAGCAGGGATAGTGAGGGGGGGATGTTGGCATGTCGGGGAATGTCCTAGAAAGCTCTGGATTTGGGCCAGGTGCAGTGGCTCATGCCTGTAATCCCAGCATTTTGGGAGGCTGAGGAGGGCAGATCACCTGAGGTCAGGAGTTTGAGACCAGCCTGGCCAATATGGCAAAACCCCATCTCTACTAAAAATACAAAAATTAGCCAGGTGTGGTGGTTGCCTGCCTGTAATCCCAGTTACTTGGGAGGCTGAGGCAGGAGAATTGCTTGAACCTGGGAGGCGGAGGTTGCATTGAGCCAAGATCTCACCATTGTACCCCAGCCTGGGTGACAAGAGCAAACTCTGTCTCAAAAAAAAAAAAAAAAAAAAAAGCTCTGGATTTGGATTCAAGAGAACTGATTTGAGTCTTGCCTCAGGAACTCTTCTGGGTATATGTGGGTAGATTAAAAATGCTCCGAGCCTCAGTTCCCTTATCTGGAAAGTGGGCACAGGCTTTGTGATGATTGAGTGATTCCTGGGACCCTTTAAATTCTCCCAGGCAGGCTGGGCATGGTGGCTCACACCTGTAATCCCAGCACTTTGGGAGTCCAAAGTGGGCAGATCACTTGAGGTCAGGAGTTCCAGACCAGCCTGGCCAACATGGTAAAACCCTGTCTCCACTAAAAATATGAAAATTAGGTGGGTGTGATGGGGCACCCCTGTAATTCCAGCTACTCAGGAGGCTGAGGTGAGAGAATTGCTTGAGCCCTGTTGGGGGTAGTTGGGGGGACGGTGGTGGAGGTTACAGAGAGCAGAGATTGCACCACTGCACTCCAGCCTGGGTGATAAGTGAGACTCTGTCTCAAAAAAAAAAAAAAAAATTCCCCCAGGCAGCAGTTGAATCATAGTAAATACCCAAATCAGTGAGGAAGAAGAGAGAATTGTGGTTGTAGTGTTCATATATTTATGTGATTTGGGCAGCAAGTAACAGAAAACTTCCACTGGCAGAAAAAAAAAGGATATTTATTGTGTCAGATAGCAGGATGTCCCAAGTTAGGGAGGATATTAAGGCTGGTTAATTCAGGGTCTCTGTGATTCATTAAGGACCCAGTTCTGTCCCTCATGTATTCCTTCAGCATTTAAGTATGGATTCCAACCAGGCGTCAGGCTCTGTGCGAGGCAACGCAATGCCTGGTGTGCTGGCTTTTTCGTCACGCTAGCTTTCCTCAAGGACACAAGATGGCGCCCTTGATCCAGACATTACATCCAGATTCAGCCTCATTCAGTAGAAGCGAAGACAGCTCTTCCTTTCTCTTTTTCCCTGAAGTGTTCTAGCTGGCCTCTCCTCTTGTATTATTGACCAGAACTGTGTCATGTGTCCCACGCTTCGGCCAATCAGCAGGCAGGAAACAGCAATTGGCCTAAAGAAGGAGATGGCAATATGGAGGAAGGAAGTGACTCCAGCCGGGTCTGGGTTCTATGAGAAAGAGGATGTGGGAATTGATATTGCCTAGGCAACCAGCAGCATCTACTACAGTCCTTTTTGAAAATGTCCACCTTTCACCCCAACATTGTCACCAAGAATGGCTGTGGCTCATTCTGGGTCTGTGAAGAGGTCACTTCTCTAGGGGCAGATGGGATGGGCCTGCCAACAAAATCAAAACACCCTCCCAACTCACAGAGACTCAGTAACTTCTAAGGTGAGTGTTTAATTTATTTTCATTATTTTATTTTATGAGACGGGGTCTTAATCTGTCGCCCAGACTGGAGTGCAGTGGCACGATCTTGGCTCACTGCAACCTCTACCTCCCAAGCTCAAGCAATTCTCTTGCCTCAGCCTCCTGAGTAGCTGGGATTACAGGCGCGTGCCACTATCTCCCAGCTAATTATTTTTACTTTTTTATAATGAAATAATGTTGGCTATGAATTTTCCTATGAGTACACTTTTAGCCCTATAGTAAGTTTTCCCAACTGTGATTTTTCTAAATATTTGATGATTTGGATATTGACTATGACTCAATAGCTGTTTGGGGGAACTTAAAAATCTACAAGTCATTGGGATTTTGTTTGTTCCAGTAAAATCTTAAAGATGACCTTTCCCAGTGTTCTCAAAGTGTGGGACATGCACTGGTGGTATGCCAGAATATTCTCAGGTGATACAATGGACATAGGATCACACTTAAAAAACCCATATTCTCTTTTCAGTTCTCTGTATTCCCTGACTGTATCAAGGTCTCAGTATGGTGCTTCTGTATTTAAATGCCTTCCCAACATTCACTAATCTTTGTTTTCAAATAGAGAGAAGCCTTAAGCTCAGAACCTCTGGAAGGACATGGTATCTAGGAAGAACTTAAAAACATTTTTAGTGGCTGGGCATGGTGGCTCATGCCTGCAATCCTAGTGCTTTGGGAGGCCAAGGCAGGTGGATCACCTGAGGTCAGGAGTTCAAGACCATAAGGACTCAGGAACTACAAAAAATAAAATAAAATAAAATTTAAAAATTAGCTGGGTACGATGGTGTGCACCTGTAATCCCAGGTACTCAAGAGGCTGAGGCAGGAGAATCACTTGAACCTAGGAGGTGAAGGTTGCAGTGAGCCGAGATCGCGCCACTGCCCTCCAGCCTGGGTGACAGAGTGAGACTGTCTCAAAAAAATAATAAAATAAAAAACATTTTAACTTCATCTTATTTTTAGAGTAATAAAGCCTTTTCTTTATGGCAAACAATACAGTTTTCTAGATAAAGTAGTGGTCTCAAGTGTAGTTTACAATAAAATCATTTAATAATAAAAATATAGCTTATAAAAAAGAATACTTAGATGATTTAAGGAACTATATTAAATGAATAAATGTTCATGGAGAAAATGATGAC